ACTGACAGATCCCCTGGAACTGGAGTTACGGACAGTTGTTAGCTGCCATATGGGTGCTGGGATTTGAACCCAGGTCTTCTGCAAGAACAACTTATGTTCTTAACCGCTGAGCCATCTCCCCAGCCTCCCCTTCTGGAGTTTTTAATCAGTTCAGGTTTTCATGGGTATGAGCATGGACTTGGACTTGAACACAGCTATAGGAAGTAGTAGAGCGGTCATGTGTGAGTTAGTGGTCCTCCATGGGTTCTGACTTGCGTGGGGCATCCCAGCAGGGAGCACATGTGGATGCAGTGTGCCTGTTCGCTATGCTGTAGGTTTTCTGCTTCTACTCGAACTCCTTTGCATGTGTGCAGGTATTTAGTCACTGCTACAGGCTTGTGATCTGAACCACACAGCAACATCCTGAACACCTCTGTCACAAGGACCCTGTCTCTGCCCTTTTAACCATGGATACCTTCCTTCTAACCAGTCCTCCACCTTTGGCAACCGCTAGCCTGTCCTCCTTTTGTGTGAGCCTGACTGGCTGCATTCCTGATCCAGGTGCTGATGTGGGGAAGCCTGTGGGGCTTCTGCGTGGTTCACAGCTAACCCCTGATTTGAGACAGCCTCATTTTTTCCCTGAGATTTTTCAGTTAATTTCCCCTTTGGATATTTAAAACAAATTTTTTAAATTTTATGTGTATGGGCGTTATGCCTGCATGTGTGTAAATCCACCTGTGTCGTGCATGAGGAGGGCAGAAGAGGGTGTTGGCTCCTCTGGAACTGTAGTTACAGATGGCTGTTAGCTACTATAGGGTGCTGGGATTCGAACCTGGGTCCTCTGTAAGAACAGCCAGTGTTCTTAACTGCTGAGCCATCTCTCCAACCCCTCTTGGATTTTGAGTTTTGAGAGTGCAGTGTCTGCATCTGTCTAGCACATCCTTAGTGTGTGGCACCGTGCAGGGCATGAAGAGCTGCATGGGAAGGAGGCATGGCTCTTCCTGCCCACTGCCCCTGCATGGAACATAAAGGTACAGTCTAGGTGCTAACCTGGGTGAGGCTTAGGACCCGGCAGACAGGACTGCTCTGGGGACCTGAGGGTTGTGTGCCACCTTGCTGCCCTTGTTCTTCTTTGCCTGATGCCGCCTACTGGCCTCTTTCTCCCCTCTGAGAGCCCAGTTCACTGTCTTGCTCAGTCTTCCATTCTGGAGGCCTTTAGCCAGATAGGGGCCACTCCTCAATTTTTCCATTATAGTGGGGACTTAGCAAGGCAGTGCCAGCTGTGGAGCTCAGGGTCTGTTTGGTTCCTTGCTATCTCTAATAGCACTTTGGGGTGGTAGAGAGGAGGGTGGAGGCAGGTTGTCCCTCATTCCCTGGTTATCTCTGTCAAATGCCAACTCATCCCAACAAGTTTCTTCTTCCTTCACGCTGCCCTCTCTGCCCAGACCTCGTTTGTGCCCATCCCCCTGCATCTGGTGGGCGGCGAACTGGGTTTATAGCATAGAATGTGAATACTGAGGCTTTCCCTATCTTGTTCTCTGCTGCCCCGGGGTGGCTCTGCCCTGCCCTAAGGAGCCTGTATTCCAGAGGAGGCGACCCTGATGGGTTCCCTACAGTTTTGGAGTTAGACTTGCTATAGTTGTAGTCTCACAGGGCCTTGGATGGCATCCTGAGGAAAGATGCTCTTGGGCTGTCAAGTACCCTATGTATGTCTGAACAAAGTGGGCAGGTTTAGAAAGATGTGAGCTGGGGGATAGTGGTGGAGCTCAGATGGCAAGGAGAGCATCAGCCTGACCTGGAGCAGTCTGTAGGGCTGGACTTGACATCAGGAGGGATGGGGGTTAATAGTAGGAGGTGTCAGGAAATCAGAGTTTCAGGACTGAGTGCAAATCAGATGTCATTTTGGGGTAGTGGTGGAGAGCCCTTGGAAGGCTGAGGAGGGCATAGGAGTTGAAGTGGGCTTCCATTTCTCCTTTGCTTCCCCTTTTTAGTCACAGGGCTTCATGAGCTCAGAGCTGGATGCAGGGATGACGGTGGGGCCTTCTACCTTCTCTCTGAGCCCTCATTTATCCTGTGCTCTTCTCCCAGGTACCCCAGTGTAGCCTGTGAGATCCTGACCTCTGACGTACCCCAGATCAATGATGCCCTGGGTGCTGATGAGTCCCTCCTGAACCGGCTCTACGGCTTCCTGCAGAGTGGCGACAGCCTCAACCCACTGCTTGCCAGCTTTTTCAGCAAGGTCATGGGCATCCTCATCAACCGCAAGACAGATCAGGTGCCTGCTGCCCAGCATGTGGGTGGGGGATAAGGAGGGTGGTTGCCAGGACCAGTGCCATGACACAGCCTGTGCCCTCAGCTTGTGTCCTTCCTGCGCAAGAAAGATGACTTTGTGGACCTGTTGCTGCGGCACATCGGCACTTCTGCCATCATGGATCTCCTGCTGCGCCTGCTCACTTGTGTGGAGCGGCCCCAGCTTCGGCAGGATGTCTTCAATGTGAGGAGGGCCCATCAAGAGGTGTGGGGGTGGGGGTGTGTGTAGATGGGGTGGCAGATGGTAAGGAACCTGCTGTCTTCCTCAGTGGCTCAATGAGGAGAAGATTGTCCAGCGGCTGATCGAGCAGATCCACCCATCGAAGGATGACAATGTGAGTGCCAGCTGGCATCTCCAGCCTCTCCCTTTAGATCATGTTCAACTTCCCGTTTGTTGCCTTTGAAACCGGGTAGGGTGCTGAGGATGGGGCTCAGTTGGTAGGCTGCTTGCCTAGGATGCTTGAACCCTGGGTCTAATCCCCAGAATCACATAAATCAGGCATGGTGGGATACACTTCTAATCTCAGCTCTCAGGATGCGGAAGCAAGAGGATTAGGGTTGAAAATCATCCTTGGCCTCCTTGCCAACTTTGAGGGCAGCCTGGACGGCACAAGGCCCTGTTTTGAAGGGGAAAAAAAGATGAATGATAAGAAAAGGGAGCACTGGTATCCTTGTATCACACCCTGAGCATGGGAATGGCATTCTGCGAGGGGCTAGGGATGTGGTCAGTGGGCCATGGGCTGATGCCTGGCTGCTGCCTCCTGGGTTAGAGCCACCCACCTAAGGTTATAAATCTGTGGCTTTTTGTATATTCAAAATTCTGTGCAATTATTGCTACATCAATTTAGATAGTTTTGTTATTTTTTTTGTTGGTAAGACAAGGGTCTCATTTGTAGGCTGGCCTCAAACTTGATGAGTAGCCAAGACTTGAACTCCTGATCCCCTTACCTCTATTTCCCAAGTACTGTGATTGCAGGATACGCCACCATGTCCAGCTTAGAATATTTTTCATACTCAAACCCTGTGACCATCATCAGTCCTTTTCAGTTCCCCCTTTCTTCTACCACTGGCAACCAGACTACTCTCTGTCTCTGGCTTTGCCTGTCTTGAACATTTCATGTAAATGGGATCATATAGTACAACATCTTCGGTGCTCAACCTTCCTTATCTTGGCACAGTGGCTTCAAGGTTCATCCTTCTGCTGGAGATGTAGCTCACTGGTACCAGCACTTACCTAGGATGCTTGAGGATGTGGGCTCCATCCTCAGCACTGTAAAGAAAATGATTAATGTAGTATGGATCAGTGCCTTTTTCTGTCGTGGCTGAGTAACAGCCCATGGTGTTGGCTAGACCAAGCTTTGCCTTCCATTCAGCAGTTAATGGGCCTGTGGTGGTTGAGCAATGCTGTGTGTGTATGTGTGTCTACTTCTGGGCTCTCTCATTGTAGCACATCTCCCCGTGTGACTACTCTTGTCTATAAGGGGCAGGTGGCTAGCTTGTGGTGGGTCCTCACTTGTCTCCACTTCCCCAGCAACATTCCAACGCATCCCAGTCCCTATGTGACATCATCCGCCTGAGTCGGGAGCAGATGATCCAAGGCCAGGACAGCACGGAGCCAGACCAACTGTTGGCCACTTTGGAAAAGTGGGTTTATAAGACCAGTGCTTGAGGCCTGGAGGCGGGGAGAGGGGAAGCTGTTCAGGGTGGGGAGCCCTGGTCCTTCACTCTGACACCCCTTCCTCCAGGCAGGAGACCATCGAGCAGCTCCTGAGCAACATGTTTGAGGGGGAGCAGAGCCAGTCTGTCCTTGTCAGTGGGATCCAGGTGCTGCTGACCCTCCTGGAGCCCAGGAGGCCAAGGTGAGGGGTGCCAGCCAGAGGTGGCACACTGCTCCTGCCTGTTTGCATCTGTAGTTCTTCAAAGCCTCAGAAGTCTCAGAGAGTGGCCATTGTGTAAAGCTGTTTCTAGAGATCCCTTCCCCAACCATGTCTGTCCTCACCCCTGACTTGCTTGTCTGAACTATGTGAGTGGGCTCCAGATGTGCAGGACTCAAGACTGTGGTGTTCCTCTGGCCCTCTCTTGTGCTCTGCTCACAGGCCTGTGTGGCTCACTCTTCCTTTAATCCTGCCCTTGCCACAGGTCTGATTCTGTGACTATGAACAACTTCTTCAGCAGCGTAGATGGGCAGTTGGAGCTCCTGGCCCAGGGTGCCCTGGATAATATGACGTCCAGCATGGGTGCCTTGCATGCCCTGCGTCCCCGGCTTGCCCGCTTCCATCAGCTCCTGCTTGAGCCTCCCCAGGTGGGAGACACACTGGTCATTGTGGTTCTAGGGGGAGAGGGAAGTGGAAAAGAAAGTAGCCTGTGGGCACTAATCCTCCCTTGTTCCTGTAGTTGGAGCCTCTGCAGATGACATGGGGCAGCCTGGCCCCACCGCTGGGCAACACACGGTTGCATGTGGTCAAGCTCCTGGCCAGTGCCCTGAGTACCAATGCTGCTGCCTTGACACAGGAGCTCCTGGTGCTGGATGTGCCCAACACTTTGCTGGTAAAGGGGGTGAGATGAGGGGACCAGGGAAATGGGGATGTGGGCATAGCAACTTTGATGCCAGCCTGTGTCCCCACTCTAGGACCTCTTCTTCCACTACGTCTTCAACAACTTCCTGCATGCTCAAGTGGAGGTGTGTGTGAGCGCCATGCTAAGCTCTGGACCCCCTCCAGACAGCAGCTCTGAGACGCCTGTCCCAAACCCTATTGTGAAACATGTGAGACAGAGTTCTTGTTCCCCTTCCTCTGGGACCTGCCTGAAGGCACACCCTCCCCAGGGGCCTCCCCCGCTCCCCCTTGTACCTAGGTGGGGTATATACTGGGAGTGGGGATGCTGGGATAGGCCTGTGAACAGATATGGGGCTGAGGCCTTGTGGGTGTCTGTGCTTGTGTGTATACATGTCACATGTTCCATGTGGGAAGCCAGAAACTCATGCCTTTAATCCTAGCCCTGGAGAGGAAGAGCCCAACTTTGAGTCTAGCCTAGACTATGTAGTAAGACCCTGTCTTAAAAAAATTAGGGCTGGGGTTGTAGTTCAGTTGGAAGAGTGTTTCCCTGGCATGCATGAAGCTCTGGGGTCAATCCCAAGCATAGCATTTAAAAAAAAAAAAAAAAAAAAAAAAAAGGTGTGTTGGTGCACAACTAGAATCCAGCACTCAGGAGAATCAAAAGTTCAGGATCATCTTTGGGAACAGAAAGTTTGAGGCTAGCCTGGGCTACATGAGACCTGTCTCAGGAAAGAAAAGAGAAACCCAGAATTAAAGCAAATTGGAGACTGGGTTCCACCCTTCCCTCGGCTCACAGACCTGGGGCCTGACAAAGTGTGCTGCTGAGTGGGACCGCTTCCCCAGCTGCTGACCCCCCAGTGGACCTATCCCAGGCCGACTTCTCTTTGCTCTCCTGTAGCTGCTGCAGCACTGCAGCCTGGTGGAGCGCATCCTGACATCCTGGGAGGAGAATGACCGTGTGCAGTGAGTGCCTGCAGCCATGCATGGGATGGACCGAGTGGCAGGAGGGTGGGTTGGGATCTGGGCAGCCCTCATCATCCGTCTGTGGTGTCCACTCTCAACCAGGTCTGGAGGGGGCCCGAGGAAAGGCTACATGGGCCACCTGACTCGGGTGGCCAATGCTGTGGTACAGAATGCAGAGCAGGGGCCCAATGCTGAGCAGCTGGGGAAGCTGCTGAAGGGTGAGGCCTGGGGCTGGCTGGAGGTGCAGCTTGGAGAGTGGGGGCAGGGTGTTGGAAGCTGAGGGTTCTTCCACCTCACACTCTGCCTTACCCATGGGTTCAGAGCTGCCAGATGAGCAGCAGCAGCGGTGGGAAGCATTTGTGTCAGGACCCTTGGCTGAGACCAACAAGAAGAACACAGTGGATCTGGTGAGGCCCAGTGTCCCTTGTGGGGGCTGTCGTGCTGCTGTCCCTCTTGATGGAGTCCCTGTCCCCACTTCCTATAGCTGCCTGCCATTGTCTGGGCGCTCCAGCAGACCCTGATGACTTTCCACCATCCTGTCCCCAGGTGAACACCCACCACCTGCACTCTTCCAGTGATGATGAGGATGACCGTCTCAAGGAGTTCAGCTTTCCTGAGGAGGCTGTGTTGCAGCAAGTGGGCCTGGGGCTCTGGAGGTGGAGGGGTGGGGAAGGCACACCTGTCCTCCTCAGCTCCCTTCCAGCTCCGACCTCCTGCCCCTTGCAGGCCTTCATGGACTTCCAAATGCAACGCATGACCTCAGCCTTCATTGACCACTTTGGCTTTAATGATGAGGAATTTGGGGAGCAGGAGGAAAGTGTGAAGTAAGTGTTTCTCGTGAAGTTGGGTCTCTGCTACCCTGCCATGTGACAGCATGTGCTGTGCCTGCCTGTGTGTGTGTGTGTGTCCTTGTGTGAGTTCAGGGTGCTGTCTCACCTCATGATGACATACGGACCTGCTTGTGTCTTTTCTGTCTTGCTTATCTGTTGTGCACCATGGCCCAGCCTACAGCCACTTGTTCTCTTAGGTTCACCCCAGCTATGGCCTTGTGTGTTCACCTCTTCTTAGACCAAGACCTAGCTCTGTAGTCTTCTCTCCCACATTGAAGTCATGAGGGTGAGGCGCCAGCATTCCTCGTGGTGAGGATGAAGAGCAGATTCCACCCCTGAGCACAGTATACAGCCTAGAGATGATGCCTGAGTGAGAGCTGACTTGTGGAACATGCAGTGCTTGATGTTACTGGAAAAACACTGTTGTCAGAGGACCAGACACCAAGGCTGTCTGCAATTAGATGGAGGGGCTGTCATGGGGAATCTGGGGGCATCTGTGTCATTAATAGGGGTGGCCTCGCTACCTCTCAGGTGTAATCCCACTGCTATCCTTTGAGCAGGCGTCTCAGTCATATATAGCCAGAGAGACCAAAGCCTTGGGACCTAGCTGGTCAGTGTGAGAACCTTGTCACTGTCCTTATGCTGTACAGCTCTGGGTGTACCATGGTGGACTGCATTCAGCAGTGCCTTCAATGGCCCCCTAGCTGCAGCCATGGAATCCTGTGTTTGTGGCTTCTCTGCCCAGTTCTGGCCTAGTGGTCAGAAGTGTGTACTTAGTCCACTGCTTAAGTGAAAATTCAACCCCACCTGATGGGAGTGGGGCTAATTTCTTGGTGAATGGTATTGGGATATCTAGCTGCTCTCTCTCTTTTTTTTTAGACAGGGTCTCCCTTTAGCCCCAGCTGGCCTCCATCTCACAGAGATCCATCCACCCGCCTATGCCTCCCAAGTGCTGGGACTAAAGGTGTGTGCCACCACTCCTGGCTTGGGCTGCTCTCTTGAGACAAAGCTGTGTTTTCCTTTTCCACTAAGATAAATTATATGAAAAGAAAACCATAAAGAGCTCTAGGAGGGAAAGTGCCAGCATATAATTTCAGAAGTGATGATGCTCTGCAGGGTCCCTGGTTCAGGAGTCGCTGAGTCAGCTGAGAGGTGACTGGTGCTGGGTGGCAATTGGCTGGGCTGTTCTACTCCTGACCCACAGAGTCCTTAGCTCCTCTCAGTTCTTTGTTTTTCAGGGAGATAAAGACACTTGTAGGGTGGTTGTAGTGGAGTACTTGTATCTGTTGTGAGAACAGTGTCCTTTGGTCATCTTGCTCCTGGGTGTTTTATGAACTGGAGATAAGTAATCCCTCAGGAAGTAACCTGACCTGTGGACAGAATGTGGATCTGAATTAAAGTGTTCTTACCATGTGATGGGAGAATGATAACATCTCAGTGGAAAAACAAACCAAGAAAGCCAGGTGTGGTGGTGTATTCTTGGAAGATTAGAGTTCAAGGCCATCCTCAGCCACGTAGTGAGTTCAAGGCCAGCTGAGGTTACATGAGACCCGTCTCAAAACCAAAACTTGAAACAGTGAGTAAAGGACACACAGTAAGCAGGGGACTGTGGGAAAGTTGCAGCCCTGCTGGGAGGAAAATAAACTGTCTTTTTGGCAGTGTGTTGATATTTTAAATATGTAGGTTTAATCCCTTCATTAATCCCTACATTTCTGGGGGCTGTAAGTGCACAGTGCTAAGTGACAGTGGGAGATGGAAGTGATGGATTGTCATGCCTGCTGTAAGGTACTCCCTATAGCCAGTTCCTGGGGAGCTTAGGCAGTTAGGCCTTGCTTGGGTCCCACCCTCATAGTTGGAAGTGATGGGGCCTTGGCTGGGATGTGTTATTTCAGCTCCTAAAATGATTGCTTTGCCCATATTTAGAATTTGAGCCCCATACTCTAGGCCTGTTAAGGTCAGGAGCCCTGTGTTGACTACTGCAGCCTGTACCTGCACTCTGCTAGATGGGGTGCTCCTTAAAGCGGCGAGCCTCATAGGTGCTCAGTGTTGTGTTTTCCAGGAGGGCAGTACCTGGCCAGTGCCCTTTCCAGCAGCACTTGTGTCCTCTCAATACAGACAGGAAGGAGGACAGTGTTCACAAACATGGGAAGTAGTGATCTTCCCTGCATTTCTCGCTAGCTGTAAATGGTACTGGTGTAGTTGGAGCCCAGCACAGTATGGTGACTGAGCTGGGTGTGTCTTGATGCTTCAGTGGTTTGCACTGTTGCATGGTCATGGAACAGCAGATTGGCACAACCTGAGCCATTGCTTTTAGGGGAGAAATGGATGGATATGTGAAACTCTTACATAGGGCATAATTTGAAATGCTTAAAACCACTTATCACGGTAGACTGTTTCCTTGCTTTTACAAACGATGAAATGGAATTTAAAAGTGCTAAGTGAGTTGCGTGAGAATACTGCATAGAAAGATTAGAACCCACACTGTCCTGCCAGAGCTTACAGCATGGCAGATCTCCTGAGTCCTCTGAGCACCTGGAGGAGGCTATGTTTCTGTGTGTAGGGAGATGAGGACACTTCCCCTTGTAGGGTGGTCCTGAGACCCAAGTGGAGTGAGTGTGTCAGGTGACTGGCTTCTTCTCCTTATAGTGACCTTAGAGTGCTGTGACATTGGGTTTGAGTTACAAACATGTTAGAGGGGAGGCAAATTTGCAGAGTAATGAGAGTCACTGTGTGCCAAGTTGAGCAAGCAAAGGAGTCAAGGGTATGGCTCACTGCACCTCTTGCCCTCTTTTAGCGCTCCATTCGACAAGACTGCCAACATCACCTTCTCGCTCAATGCTGATGATGAGAATGTGAGTCACCTGTCTCATTTGTGGTGAGTGGAGGGGTGGGGAGGGGTTGCAAGCATCGCAGCCCATTCTCCACTCTGTGTCTGCAGCCCAATGCCAACCTGCTGGAGATTTGCTACAAGGATCGAATCCAGCAATTTGATGACGAAGAGGAGGAGGAAGAGGAGGAGGAGGGCCAGGGCTCAGCAGAGTCAGATGGAGAGTATGGTGCTTGGCAAGGTAGCCAGCCAGCAAGGGCATCCCATGCAGGACAGCCCCCTGGTGTCCGGTAAGTCCCCTCTACCTCCCTGTCTGAAGTTTCTACTGTATAGGGATACATATTGATATTCATATTCTCTCTCTCTCTCTCTCTCTCTCTCTCTCTTTCTCTCTTTCTCTTTCTCTCTCTCTCATGGGCATGCTTGTACACACATACCTCCTAATGGGGATGCTTGTTCTCCCCCCACCCAAGGGGGGTTCTTGTACACACACAACACACTCACACATACTCACACACACACTTTACTATGAGGAGTTTCCAAATGTGTTGGACTGAGGCTGAAGCAAAGGAGAAAAATCAGAGTATGTTGGTATGTTTGGGGTGATTTCAACTACAAGTGGCAGAAACCCAGTTCAAATGAATCTGGCTATGTTCAAAACAAACAGGACAGCCTGGGGAGAGCTCTGTCACTCCAGTGTGCTCCCAAGTTAAGATGGTGCCACTCAGCTTCCCTTTCCCCTGAATGAGAGAAGGAAACCTCTTTCAAGTTAGATTGTTCATCAGCTTTATGAAGAAACTGTGTTTTGTCCTCCCTCCCTCCCTTTTCTTTCTTTCATCTCTGATACTCCATAATCAGTGTGATCAAACTCGTTCACGTCAGGCACATTTGCATGGTCTGCAGCTCCAAGCTTTTCCGCATGACTTGATTTGAAGACCAGTGATTTGTGTTACTTTTGTAATTGACTGTAGCATGCACAGACACCCTGTGTGTGCAGCCACATGGAAGCCCTCTGTCAGCACCAGACCCAGGAACAGAACCCCACTGTTCCTTTGTGGCCCTGCTGGCCCCTGCCCTCCCTTGTCACAGGCAGCAGTGTCCTGACATGGTTGCCTGTGGATCAGTCTTGCCTCTTTTTCCCTTTTTCTAGTCATGCTGTGCATGTGAAGGGTCCTTTATCTGAAATGCTTGGGGCCAGAGTGTTTTAGGTTTTGGAGCATTTCAGATTTTTGTTTTGTTTTAAGATAGGGTCTCACTCAGTAGCCCAGCCTGACACCAAATTTGTGGTAATAATCCCACCTCAGCCTCCTCATACTCGAATTAAAGGTATGTGCTACCACACTTAGCTCAGACTTTTTATTATGCAGACTTTGTATGCATATAATGTGTATGGGGTTTTGTTTTGTTTTTTTGTTGTTTTTGTCTTTTTGAGACAGAGTCTTCCTGTAGCCCCAGTTGGCCTGGCACTATCTATATAGAGCAGACTGGCCTTGATCTTACAGAGGTCCGCCTGCCTCTGCCTCCTGAGTTCTGGGACTAAAGCTGTGCGCCACCGTGCCTGCCTGGTTTGCTTTTTTTGAGACAGGGTCTCACTATGTACACTGTGTAGAGTCTGGCTGGACTCGATCTCACAGAGAGTCACCTACCTGTCTCTGCCTCTCAAGCACTGGGATTGAAAGTGTGCACCATGCCTGGCTCTTTTTTATTTCTGTTTTTTTTTTTTTTTTTTTTTTTTTTTTTTTTGAGACAGTCTCACTTACTATGTAACTGTGGCTGGCCTAGAACTCGCTATGTAGACCAGGCTGACCTCAAACTCACAGAGAGCCACCTGCTCCTGTTTCCCCAGGGCTGGATTAAATACACGCATCATCATGCCCAGCAGTTCCATTTTTTTTTTATAGCTGACTAATGATCCATTTTTGTCTCTACCACATTTCTTTTGGTATACTACTACTTTCAAGGACTGTCTCGACAGCCACTGTGTGTGTGGTGTTCAGAGGACAACTTTTGTGAGTTGGTTCTTCCCCTCCACATATGAGGCCAGTGGCTTCCGAGGATTGAACTCAGGCCTTCAGGCTTGCCCAGAGTTTTTTCCACTGAGCCCCCTAACCAGCCCATGACTTTGAACTCTTCATCCTCTGGCTTCAACCTCCCAGTTATTGGGATTACAGGTGAGAGGCACCAAGCTCAGCTGGAAGCGTTTTCATTTCATGTAATCCCATTTGTAAATTCTTGCTAATATTTCCTGAACTTTTGATGACCTGTTCAGACAAGTACTTGATTTGGTGGCTCACACCTGCAGTCCCAGTACTGGGGAGGCTGAGGTAGGAGGATCATCATGAGTTTGAAGCTAGTCCAGGCTATAGAATAAGATGCTGTCTTTAGAAAGAAAAAACCCAAACAAACAAAAAGTGTTTATTCTTCTCTCTATCTTGAAATGTTTTCCCTTGAAGTTCAGTGTCAGGTCTGATGTGAGAGGCTGGCCTGTTGTCTCTCCTCTACTTGTTGGCATCCAGTTTTCCAGCACCATTTGTTGAAGGTGCTGTCTTCTTTCTAGTGTGTTTCTATCAGTTGTGGAAGGTTGATGACTATGGGTTTACTTGTAGCTCTTGTCCCATTGCTCTGCTTGTGTGTTTTTGTGCCAGAAAGCTGTTTCATTACCATGGTTCTGCTGGGTAACTTGAAATCAGGTATAGTAATTCCTCCGGATTGCTTTGGCTACTCAGAGTCTTTTGTGCTTCTTGTGAACTGTGGGGTTATTTTTCTTTCTTCATAAAGAAGGTCATTGAATTTCAAAGTCTGGATTTTCAGGTAAGGGTTGCCATCTGCTGTCTAACACTTGTCATGCCTGTCCCTGGGCTTGGTATTTGGGGCATGCCATTGTGGAACTGGCCTCAGTGATAGACTGGTTACTCTTCAAACAGTTCTTTATTGCAGTGCTGAGAGAGTGAACCCAAGGCTTTGTGCATGCTAGGGCAGCAAGCATGCTCTATGTAGCTGTATCTTAGCCTGCTCTTGGCTTTTTAAACAGGATTCAGCAGGCCTTGAATTTGGAATCCTCCAGCCTCAGCCTCCTTAGTAGCTGAGATTACAGGCCTGCCCCACCAGGTCCAATAGAACAGGTCCTTTTTTGTCACTGTAAGTAAGGCTCCTGTAGAACCCTCTCTGCATTGCTGAGCCCAGCATAATCTATGTAGGGTGTGTGTGTGTGTGAGACAGAGTCTTTTTATTTATTGATTTGGGTTTTTGAGATGGGCTCTTGCTATATAGCCTTCACTGGCCTGGAACTCTATATAGCTCAGGCCAACCTTGAACTCAGATTATGGGCATATGTGTCCATACTCAGAGTTACTTGTGTGTTTTCTTGTAAGAGTTCCTTAATTTAAAAAATTGCATATGTATTCGTGTGTTTGTGTATATGAGTTGGTGTAGGCATGTGGAGGTCAGATGACAACTTGATAAACTTGGCTCCCTCCTTCCACCATGTGGGTCCTGGGATCAAACACAAGTTGTTGACTAAATTGGGAAATATTCGTGTTCAGCTCTTCTTATTGAAGATTGCTTTAATTATTTGGGATATCTGAATTTTAGGGTCATTTTGTCATTTTCAACAAGGAAACCATTGGGAGTTTTGATAGGCAGTTTGGGCAGTATTGCCATTTTGACAGTATCTTTACTCCCTCCAGCATTGGATGTTCTCAGTATTGGTCTTTTTGTTTGTTTGGTTTATTTTTATTTGTTTATTTGTTTATTTATTTAGGTTTTTTTTTTTTTGGTCTTTTTGAGACAGGGTCTCCCTGTAGCCCCAGCTGTCCTGGAACTCGCTGTGTAGACCAGGCTGGCCTTGAACGCAGAGAGATTTACCTGCCTCTGCCTCCCGAGTGCTGGGATTAAAGGCATGGGCCACCATACCAGGCCCTGTTCTCTCTTTTTAAAGATTTATTTATTTATTTTTATGTGCATGTTGTGTGTCTGAGTGTATATGTGTGTACCATATATGTACAGGTGCCCCCCATAGGCCAGAAGTGGGCATCAGATCTCCTGGAACTGTAGTTACAGGTAGTTGTAAGCCACATGGTATGGCTGCTGGCAACTGAACCTCTGCAAGACGCAAGTACTCTTAACCACTGAGCTATCTCTCCAGCCCCCATTGTATTGTTTTTGGTGCTGTTATAAATAGAACATTATAGAAATCATTTTTATATTATGGCAAATGTTTGGAAATATAATAATGGTGTCTTGTTGTTTTGTGTATGTGTGTGCATGTGCATGCATAGAATCCTGGAGATGGATTCAGGGGCTTTATGTATACTAAGTAAAGTGCTCTACCACTCCACTCTTTTCTCAGCACAATTTTTATTTTGGACCTCAGTTGCCCAGGCTGGCCTTGAACTCACTACATCACCAGAACTGGCTTATAATGGGTGTTGTGTCCATAGAGCTTGTCTCCCCAAGGCTGCTGAATTGTACATTAGTTCTAATAGTTTCCTGAGTCCCTGAGGATTTTCTGTGTACAAGATCATGTCATCCTTGAAGAGAGGGCTTTCCCTTTTATCTTTTCTCACTGAGTTGCCCTGCCTAGACCTGCGGCACACTGATGAACAAGGGACAAGAGCAGCCATTCTTGTCTTGCTCTTGACTGGAGGACATTCGGCCACTCACCATTTAGTCTGCTGTTCATAGGTTTTGCAAGTGTCTTTCATCAGAAAGGAGTTCTTTCCATCCTTCATTTCTACCATTTAAAGTACTATATCGAAATGACACACACTTGACAATTTAGAAATAGCGTATACTGGGTCTCTGTGTTGGAGGGTTCTGTGTCTTCAGGCTTGGCCAAGACAAGAATATTGAAAATATTCTGGAAATAATTGCTTTTGTACTAAATACATGAGACTTCCCTTGAGGTCATTCCTTAAACAATCAGAGCTGTTTACATGGTGGTGTCGTTGTACTAACTAGAGTTAATGACTCTAACCTAGAGATGGAAGTGCATAGATTATATGGAAATGTGAGTTTTATTGAAGGGGCTTGAGTGTCCTTGGCTCTTGATGTCTGGAGGGTTCTAGAACCAAGCCTCATGGACCCCAGAGATGGCTTGCTATTATAGCCCTTCCTTGGTTGATGGACATGTGGTGGTTGGGATTTTCCCACAGTCAGCATCCGGACAGTATTTTTAGAGCAGCCCTGGGTGCCAGGTATTCTCAGGGCTTGAGGGTGTGGCAACTGTCTGTGTCCTGGCATTGCTAGCTGGAGAAAGAAAGCGAAGTAAGCTATTCTTTTCAGAGGATGGTTCCTGGGGTGGGAAGGCCTGCGCATGGTTGAAGACACTGGCGATGAGACTGAAGAGCTGGCATCTTGTCCTTATGGTTGTAGCTTGTTTCCTGAGGATCCGTCCTGCTCTGGAGGGCGTGATAAGACTGATGATGTTTATTGTTGTGTTCAGTGGTCAGGTTCTGAAGTGACCCGGACTCCCTTTGTCTGCTGGCCTCTCCTGCATCTTCCTATCCCTGGGTTCCCTGGACGTCCTGGAGGCTGCCTCCATCCCCTTCTGTTGTCATCTGCCTTGTGGTCCTGGGCTGTGGTTGCGGGGAGTGGGTCAGTGGGCTGTCCTTGCATGGCCTTCTAATGAGGTTATGTCTGGGGCAGGAGTGGAGGAAGCACAGACAGCGAGGACGATGAGGATGAGGACGAAGAAGATGATGACGAGGGGGTTGGCCATGCAGCCTGTGGAGGGGCTAGTCCCCGCTCCTACTCCAGCCTCAGCCCTCAGCCTCCTGGTAAGTATTGGGTGGCCTGTGCTCAGGTATACACAGGGTGTCTGCCTGCTACAGGCTCACCCCCATCACTCTTCTCCCACCTCTGCCACAGGCCCAAGCTGGACAGCCACCTTTGACCCAGTGCCTATGGATGCCCCAAAGGGTCCCCCAATTTCCAGGGAGGCAGACATGCCCCCCACCCAGAGCCTGACCAACCCTCCAGCCCATGATGCCCCACAGCTCAGGTGGGGATGGACAGGGCAGGACAGGCGGGTGGGTATCTGGGTAGGGAGGCAGTCCCACATCCTGGCCCTCTCAGACTTGGTATTCACCCCAGCTATGCCCTCTGGCTCCTTTCTTTCTTCCTAGGTCTCAGGACCCCACAACCCCCTCAGCACCTCAGGAAGCCACAGATAGCAGCAAAGTAGCAGAGCCCTTGGGTGAGCTGACCCATACCCTTCTTACCAGGGATGCTGGTCCATACCCTTCCTACCACAGAAGCTGGTCCACATCCTTCCCTACCACATGTTTGGGGAGGGCAGCCTGGCTGTGTCTCAGTCTACTTGGAGGTGGCAGCTGAGAAATGGCCCATCTCTTCCTCCACAGACCCCTGCCAGGCCTTGGTTAGTGTCTCGGACCTCCAGGCCACCTTGCACGGGATGTGTTCTGCCCCCAGCTCTTTGGACAGGTGAACATTGGGGTCCAATCTGGGCTAATTAGCACAGATGGGGGAAGGGGAAGACCAAGCCTCCTTCTGAGATGAATGCTAGACTCTTGTCCCTGAGCTGTCCTTGGCACTGAGCTTCACTGCATGCCCTGTGGGCTATTTCTTTTAGTAATTAAATGTCTTGGGTGGGGGCACACACAAGGGCCCTTGTAGGCCTCCAAGTTGAGAAAGGCTTCCAGGAGGATGAGGGATCAACAAGGAGCAAGGTGTGCACAGCACCATATGACCACAAGTGCATCCTACGAGGGCGTGGATCCTGGAGGCTCCCAAGTGTGAGGCTGAAGAGGCGTGGCTTGCCCCTCCAGCTGTGCAGCCCCTCCATGCTGTGTCACCCATATCCTCGTTGATGGCCATGTAGTGAGAAAGTCTCTTTGTTGCCCAGCCCTGCCCTTACCTGGCCCCTTTTGGAGAGACAGGTGGCCTTGGGCTGACTGGGCTCCGAGAGCATCTTAACAACAGGCACATTGGTCTTACCCACAGTGCAACCATAGACCCCTCTACCTCTGTCCCAACCTCCGGGGCCCAGCAGCCCCCCCAGACCATGGAGGGGGAAAAGAGCCCAGAGCCCTTGGGGCTTCTCCAAAGCCAGAGGTGAGTTAGCCTCCCTGGGAGGATTGGGGTGGATGGGGCAAGCTTGGTGGGGCAGAAAGTGATTTCCACGTCCCATTTCTTACCTAACAGTACCCAGGCCCTCGAGATGCCCAACGGCTCTGCCCCAGGAGGGCCTGTTTCCCCAGGCTCCCAGTAAGTTTGGCCACAGCCTCTGGTGGGTGGGCAAGATGGGGCCACTGAACCTCATATGATGTCTCCTTCTGTTCCCAGGTAGCTGCCTGGTGGCAGTGGTGGCCAAATTCTTTGTCCTCCCTGTGGAGCCCCCCATTGGGGCAGGGTGGATCCCATGGTGGCCCCCTGCCACATTTTCCTGTACCCTACATTCTGTCCTCTGGTCTCCCAGGAAGGCTGGTACCAGGGAGACTCCCCCACCCATCCCATTTGCACTGAGAAGAGAAACTATGGAGCTTTGTCTCCTAGAATAAAAGACAGTCACATAGAGAGAAAGGAGAGAGAGAAATGTATATTATATATTATATATATATTGAGGGAGGAGAGAGAGAAAGGAAGCCAGGACAATAAGTGGGCCCACAGCTCTGAAGCACAACCTCCTCGCCCCAACGGGGACTGGCGCTGGGGTTTGAGGCCACTGTCCCATGTTCTGGTGCAGATGCCCACCAGGCCTTTCACTCAGGATCACCTTGGGGTGTAGCAGCGAGGGCGTTGGGGGCCTAAGTGGCCGAGCCTTCGTCCAGACCTTGTACTTCAGCCAGGCATCTGGCCCCTGGCCCCAGAGAGCAGGGCTTCCCTGGCAACATCGCCAGAGGCCGTGAATCTGGTCTCTGGGTACCTGTGCTCCAAGAGTCCCAGCACTGCTGCCAAGTGGCCTTGTCCCAGCTCCTCCCCAGGCTGGCGTGCGTGTGCGTGTTTGCTGAGCTTGTTTCATATTGCAAATATAAATAAAGGAAGACAGCTGAAGACTCCTGGTGTCAGACCTTGAGTTCAAGATCAGGGTGGGGTGGGCCTGCTGCACAGGGCAGGGCCTGGGGAGAGCAGTATTCCCTCTGAGGCTGGCATCCTCTTGGGACCACACTGTCAAGTGTGTGCGGGGGACCTTTGTGCTTTTCATTAGTCGCACCGGGGCCTCTCTGATCTGCCCCTCCTTGTCCCTGTTCTGCCCATTCAGGGCAGAGTGGAGGCTGCGGAGTCCGCTCACAGCCCTTCTTGTACCCTCCCTTAGCTGATGCAGAGGCCCATGGACCCTGGAACCTGGGTTCCTGTCCATCCCCAGATGGGAGGTATGGAGCATCCTGGGTGTGGGTGTAGACACCCAACAGAACCCATCATAAAGGAACCCCATGGTGAGCCAGGTGCGTGGCACCCAGTAGATCCCTATCTGCTACATGGGAAGGCTGCCAGCAGAGTGTGTGTTCTTCCAGGAAACCTGTTGGAGTGACTTTGAGCATACCACGGGATATATTCAGCCAGGACTTATGGTAGGACTCACCCCTCCCCAGCAGAGAATGGAGGCAAGAGTCCTGTCCTCCAGGGTTGGTCTTGGAAGGTGGGTACCCCTGCTCTGTGGAACCCGTTGTCCCTTCTGGACACTGAGAGGTCCACTTGGGGGTTTCACCTTTGCCAGCCTATAGGAGGAGTGAGTTAGGTTCCTGTGTGCTGGGGAAGGAGGGAACTATGAGGGGAGGAGGGACCCTTGGGTCCCAGTGGGAGCCTTATCAGCAACTGCCAGAGAAGGCCACCCCTTGGGTGAGCCCTGTTATCAGTCCCAGAGTCCACAGGACACTCCGGGTTAACGTGTAACCACAGGCCTCCCCGCTATCCCCTGAAGCCACTGGCTCCTAAATAGCCACTCAACATGGACGCTAGAAAAGAGGGGTTACCCCTGAAGACTTACTACCCAAGCCAAGTGAGACCCTGCAGAGGGGGTAGTGGGGGGAGGGCTCAGGCCTGGGAACCTGGGTGGCCCTGGGGCCCGTGATTCTGTTTGGTGAGTTGGTTGGGGCCCCTTGCCCTCCCAGGAGGTTGGAAGTGACAAGGTCTCAGAGGAAGCTAAGGTGCCTAGTCCCGACATGGAGCGTTCCAGCAGAGGATGGGGTGGCTCGAACCTGGGAGATTTGGGGCAGTGGGGGCGGGGCGCAGGTGTTGAAATAGGGTTATCTATGTAGCCCAGGCTGGTCTTGAACCAGAGATCCTTGTGCCTCTCCCTCCTAAGGGCTGGAATTACAGCCATGACCCATCTTGCCCCAGCCAGGCCTGACCCCTCACCCCAGGGCTGGGCTTTGTGGGCGGCTGAGTGGCTTCCCTCTCCTGAAGCACCCACAGGTCCGCAGGTGGCTGGTGCCCCCCATCCTCTCCTGCTTCCTCTACTTTCTCCTCTGGATTCCTAAGGACCAGCCATCCTGGCTCAGTGCTCTGGTCAAGTGCCTGCCTTTGCTCTGCCTGGTTGTGTTCCTGTGGGCTGTGGCCTCTGGCAGGAGCTATACCCAGCTCCTTCAGGGGGCCCTTCTGTGTTCAGCTGTAGGAGATGCCTGCCTCATCTGGCCTGAAACCTTCCTTCATGGTGAGAGGGACCCCATGACAACACATCTAGGGTTCTTGTGGAGTTGAGTCAGCACTGGTACACAACTTTAGGGTGCAAGGAGGTTCCTCTTGAGCTCCCTAAGCTGAGCCAGGCAGCACCAGGAAGCAATGGTAAGGGGCAATCAGGGCCTGGAAGATTCAGGTGGAGGAAAATGAAATCATAGCATTGCTGAGTAACATGGTCAGGAGGGGTCGGGTGGGGAGGCAGGCTTTTTTTGTTTGATTTGAGACAGCTTCCAAAATAGTTAAGATGGGCCAGAAAATATGTAGCTGAGACTGCGTCAAACTCAGGGTCCTTCCTTCGTTTAGGCAGTCTTCAAGGATATGTTGGGTGCATGTGTCGGGAGAGTGGCCGTCCTGGGCGCGGTAGTGGTGTGCGCCAAGGCCCTGGGGTAACGACATACAAGTTCCATTGTCCAAATAGGGCAGGGTGGGTGGAGTAAAGTGCTTGGTTAAATGCAGGTATGGCCTTCCCAGAACACCACACTGAGTTGTGGACACTTGAGTAGGGCAAGCACGTGGCACTGAATTTTAAGGTCATTCTCACTGGGAAGTGATGGAGCACCCAAGGGTGGGAAGAAATTGGGAAGCCGTCCAGGAAAGGGGTGCTGTGATGCGAGTAGGAGCTGGTGGCATGGTCAAGGAGGGAGTTGGTGCTTTGGGATTGTGCTCCCTCTGGGTCTGGTGGAGAAGCAGGAGGCCATCCCTCCCCTCACTGGGCACCCATTCCTCTCTCCCCCAGGCATGGCCGCCTTCTCTGCTGCCCACTTGCTGTACATCCGGGCTTTCGGCCTGTCCCCCCTGCAACCTGGCTTGCTGCTGTTCACCATCCCGGCCTCTCTTATGTACTACAGCCTCCTCCTGCAGCACCTTGAGCCAGACATGGTCCTCCCTGTGGTGGCCTATGGGTTGATCCTGAATGCCATGCTGTGGCGCGCCCTTGCCTGGGGGCGTAGTGCCGGCTGGGGCGCTCTGCTCTTCATGATCTCTGATGGTGTGCTGGCCTGGGACATCTTTGTCCAGCCCTTGCCTTTTGCCCACCTGCTGGTCATGACCACCTACTATGCAGCCCAGCTCCTCATTGCCCTGTCGGGCCTCAAGAGCCATTGATGGAGGAGCCAGTCCCCTCCCCCCACTCCTATAGGACTTGGTTCTTCCACATTCACCCAGCCTGGCAAGTCCTCACCTGGGATGCTCCTGGTCATGGGCCATCTCAAGATATCTGTATAGTGCGGACAGAATTCAAGGTCACTGCTGAGACCAAGCTGCCTTCCCTGGGCTCTGATTTTGAATTCCTCAACCTAACCCTTGTCCTGTTCTCCCAGTCAGTCTGCTTCCTGTTCCCAGTCCGCTTCTCCATCTACCCACCCCTTCCCAGTGCTCCAAATCTGTTGTCTTAAGTAAAATGAGTGTCAGAGCATTAGTGTCACCATTATTTGGAAGGAAGGTAGGGATGATGCCAGTTCACAACAGTAGATATGTGGGTTCCCCCATCCCCAGGGTTTTTTTGCTTTTAATATTTAATTTATTGTTTTTATTTTGTGTGTATGAGTGTATTGTCTGCATGTATGTGAGTACGCCCAGTGCTGTGGAGGTCAGAAGAGGGCTTCAGATTCCCCTGGAACTGGAGTTAAGGATGGTTCATAGCTGCCATGTGGGTGCTGGGAATTGAACCTGGGTCCTCTGCAAGAACAGTCAGTGCTCTTAACTGCTGAGACATTGCTCCAACCCCGTGGTTTTGTTTTGTTTGTTTATTTTAATATTTTATGTGTATGAGTGTATTGTCTGCATGTATGTGAGTGCACCCGTGTCGTGCAGTGCCACAGAGGTCAGAAGAGGGCTTTGGATTCCCCTGGAACTGGAGTTAAGGATGGTTTGTAGCCGCCATGTGGGTGCTGGGAATTGAACCCGGGTCCTCTGCAAGAGCAATCAGTGCTCTTAACCGCTGAGCCATCTCTCCAGCCCCTGTTTGTTTGTTTTTTAAAAGATTATTTGGGTGTTAGCCAAATAGTCTTTTAATTCCAGCACTTGGAAGGCAGAGGCAAGCAGATCTCTGAGATTGAAGTTAGCCTGGTCTCCATAGTGAGTTCCAGGCCATCTGGGGCTACACAGAGACCCAGTCTCAAAAAGACCAAAAAAAACCAAAAACCAAAAAACAAAAACCATTATTTGGGTGTGTGTGAGTGGGTGCACACACCTATGTGCATGGGTACAAGAGCCTGTATGCTCTCACCGGTCAGAAGAGGACACTGGCTGTCCTCTGTCACTTTCCATCTATCATTTGAGGTGGAGTCTGTCCTTGAACTTAGAGCTAGCGTTTTTTCAGCTAGACTGGAAGCCAGAAAGCTCTAGTGGTCCTCCCATCTGCCCTTGTCAGAGCTGGGGTTACAGGTGTGTACTGGATACCTGGCTTGTCATATGAATGCTGGGATTTGAACTCTGGTCTTCATGATTGTGAAGCAAGCACTCTCTTTTAATTTTTTTATGTGTATGAGTGTTTTGCTGCAGGTATGTAAATGCACCATGTGCATGCAGTGCCCACAGAGGCCAGAAGAGGGCGTCATCGGGTTCCCAGGAACTGGAGTTAAAGATGGCGCTAGCCACCATGTGGGTGCTGGGTACTGAACCCTGTTCCTTTGCAAGAGCAGCCAGTACTCTTAACTGCTGAGCCTTTGTCTGCAGCTCCCAAGTTTTGCTTTTGTTTTTTTTGGTCTTTTTGAGACAGGGTCTCCCTGTAGTCCCAGATGGCCTGGAACTCTCTATGGAGACCAGGCTGGCCTTGAGCTCAGAAGTCAGCCTGCCTCTGCCTCCTACACCAGGCCTTGCTTTTGTTTTTGAGACAGCAGCTCACTGTAACCTTGGAACGCTCAGTGCAGATCAGGCTGGCCTCAAACTCAGAGATCCACCCACAGCAAGCACTCTTAGTATCTGAGCTACCTGATTATGTCAGCTGTCAGAAACGTCTTTTGACACAGGATCTTGTCATCGTAGCCCATGACCCATGCTGGCCTCTAATAAACCGTCCTCCTGACTCAGCCTCCCAAGCAAACATCTTGATAACCTTCCCAGGGCCTGCCAGGGGGAGCGAGAAGGGGGAAGGATGTTACAGATCAGGATTACAGAAGTGAGACTGGGGAAGACTTTAATATTTATTTTTGTGTGTGCTGTAATTACAGGTGTGTGTATGTTGTATGTATGCTGGTACATGTGTGGAGGGCAGAGGTCAATTTTGTATGGCAAGGTGACATTTCTCAGGAGTTGGTCACTTTTTAAAAATTGGTTTAGGGGCTGAAGAGATGGCTCAGCGGTTAAGAACACTGACTGTTCTTGCAAAAGACCCAGGTTTGAATCCCAGCACCCACATGGCAGCTAACAACTGTCCATAATGCCAGTTCCAGGGGATCCGACAGCCTCTCTGTCCTCTGTGGGCATTGCAGGCAATGCCTACATGCAGGCAATACATGCATACACATAAAAATTTTTTTAAATTTGTTTAAATTTTATGTGTATGAATGTTTGGCCTGCATGTATATTAGTGCACCACATGTATGCCTGGTGTCCTTGGAGGCCAGAAGGTATCAGATCCCCTGGAACTGGAGTTATGGGTGGTTGTTAGCCACCGTGTGGGTGCTGTGAACTGAATCCTGGTTCTTCTGCAAGAGTGGCCAGTGCTCTTAACCACCAAGCCATCTCTCCAGCCCATGCCTGATATTTTTATGTGGGTTTTGGCAATTAAACCCATACCCATACCCTATCTTCCTGTCCTGCCCCCCCCTTTTGAGACAGTGTCTCTTGTAGCCCAGGCTGTGCACTGGAATTCCCTGTGTAGCAGATGACCTTGAACTTCTGATGCTCATGTCTTGTACCTCCCAAGTGCTTAAATAACAAGTTGTATACGTTTATGTGGTGCTGGGGATGGAACCCTGTGTGCGTGCCTGACTCCACTACTGAGGTACATCCCTAGTAAGACATCTTTTTGAGAAGCACAATCCACCATCATCTGTGTAAGAGGAGGATGAAGGGGCATTTGAGGAGGGAGCAGGGAAGAAGAACCTGGGGGTGGCCTTTAGCAGTACGACTTTTGCAAAACCCCTGCCAGCCTCTGGGCCTTGGATTCTGCATCAGAGTATGTGATAGGGTCTCAAGTCTACCTCTGCGTTCATGATGTGCTCAGTTTGGGACCCTGACAGCAGAATTATGATTTCCACCTCATGACCTGCCTTCAAGAACTCAAGGGAGCAGCTAGCGAGATGGCTCAGTGATTAAGAGTGCTTGCTACTCTTCCAGAGGACCCAAGTTTGGTTCCCAGCATTAAGCAGCTCCCAACCAGGGGTCTGATGCCCTCTTCTGACTTCCTACATGACATATAAATACATGCGCATATATAATCTCTTAAAAAAAAACAGGCTGAAGAGATGGCACAGTGGTTAAGAGCACTGGCTGCTCTTGCAAGAGGACCTGGGCTCAGTTCCCAGCACCCACATGGTGGCTAACAACCGTTACTCCAGTTCCAGGAGATCCAGCATTCTCTTCTGGCTTTTGTGGGCATTGCACAACATGGGTTCACTTATATACATGCAGGCAAAACAAAAGTCAAAAAAGTTTTTTAAAACTCGGGAGGAGTTTTTTTTAAAAACTCTGGAGGGATGGCTTGGTGGTTAAGAGCACTGACAGCTCTTGTAGAGGACCCAGGTTTGATTCCCAGCACCTACATGGTGGCTAACAACTATCTGTAACTCCAGTTCCAGGAGATATGATTGCCCTCTTCTAGCCTCTGTGGACATTGCATGACTCAGGTGCACTTAAACACACGCAGGCAATCGACACAAAATGAAAATAATAAAATTTAACTGTGATGATAGGTATTTTCTGAGTTATGAGAAAAAAAAAACTCAGGAGGAAAGAATAGAGATCATTGTCATTACTGTGTGTTGTTGTCTCATACTTGTAATTCTAGTACTTAGGAGGCCAAGGGGACAGGAAGGTCAAGAGTTTGAGGCTAGCCTGGGCTTCATAGTGGGCTTCCAGGGCAGCCTGCTAGACTTTGTCTCAAAAAAACAAGTTGGACTGGGAATGTAGCTCAGGGTGCTTGACTAGCGTGTATGAGATCCTGGGGTTTAGTCTGTAGCGCTGCACAAACTGGACATGATGGTGCATGTCTGTAATTTCAGCACTTAGGAGGTGGAGGCAAGAGGATCACAAATCAAGGTCAACCTGTACTATATGAAACCCTGCCTCAAAAACAACAAAATTCAGAGGCTGAGGCAATGGCCCAGTTGGTAAAGTGCTCACCCTGCAGCCATGAGGACCTGTGTTTGGATCCCCAGCACCCACCTAAGAAGCCAGGCACAGCTCTTAAAGCAAATCTTGAATCTTAATTTTTAAATTTATTTTCTGTACCTGTGTAGTATGGGGGTGGTGAGTGAAGATCAGGTGCTTGAGTGAAGATCAGGGAACAACTTGCGGGGTCAGCCTTTTGCCATGTGGGTCTTGGTGATGAACTTGGGTTGTCAGGCTTGGCAGCAAGCACTTTTACCCAATGAACCGTCTTGTTGCCCCTTGATTTCTCTTCCCTCCCCTTCCCTTCCCCTTCCCTCCCCCCTCCTCTTCCCCTTCCCTCCCCCCTCCTCTTCCCCTTCCCT